GTTTATCCAGGCGCCAAAGATTTAATGACCTTGTGTATCGAAACTTTAGCCAAAAATGTCGACATGGCCGATGACTTGGGAGATCTACCGGAACCACTCATGGATAAATTGTCAGCTATACTTTCCAAGAGGCGTCTTTTACGTTCCAATACTTTGAATCTATTTCTTCAAAATGGTCGTGAAGTCATCACCATCTATGAAGGGGCATACCTGAACTCAGATGACTATATTCGAATATTCAAAGTCGTACCAAGTGTCAAATCATTACGCATTCGATCTGGTATTCAATTCAAAGACAAAGTAATGGAACATCTTTTGGCATCTACTGTCAAACTTGAGCACCTGAGTTTGTCTGGTAGTAATCTCATAAGCGATGAAAATGGGAACCGTTACTTCACGGAGAAAGGTTCACACCTCAAATCTTTCAAGGTTTACTACACAGATGGTCAATTTGGTGATGATCAAATAGATGTTATCACCAAAACATGCCCTCAATTGACTCGTCTTAAAATTACCCATAACCAAAAAGTCACTGATGAGGGTATTGCACATATTTCACGTATCTCTACTCTTCAACATCTCGGTTTGGAAATCCAAAAAAGCAAAGCCTCAGAACCATATGTTCAGATCCTTGATAGTATCGGACCTCAACTACAAACTCTCTCTCTTGGTCAAGTCCATGAAATTAACGATTCTGTCTTGACCGCTATTCATGACAATTGTCAAAACTTGAACAAACTGCGCATCACAGACAACAGTGTATTGACAGATGCAGGTTTCGCAAACCTTTTCAAAAATTGGTTAAATCCTCCTCTTTCCTTCATTGACCTATCTAAAAACCGACATATCGATGCTTCCGTACCTCGCGACAACCCTGATAATATTGGTCTCTGTTCCCTCGGTTTCGAAGCCCTAATGGCACATTCAGGTCTTACTGTGCGCTACCTAGATATCAATTCTTGTCGACATATTTCCCTCACAAGTTTTGAAAAGGCATTCTCACTCGAAAAGGAATATCCGGAATTGGAAGAGATGAACATTAGTTTCTGTCAGGAAGTAAATGATTTCGTGGTTGGAAGTATCTTTAAGACTTGTCCGAAATTGAAGAAATTGATTATTTTTGGAGACTTCAAGGTTAGGGATGTGAGGGTTCCGAGGGTAGAAATCCTTATTGGTATGCCTAATGCAATGGGGATGCAGATTGAGGGGACTGAAGATGGAGGTGATGGGATGAGTGCTTGGTGAGGGGAGAGGAGGTAAAGTGGAGGGATAAGGATTGGACACTAAAGATTAAAGGGTGGTCAGCTGTCTGGGGTCTAATTTGTGATACTGGTGTTGGGGAAGTGCTGGATAGATGTAATAAGGGGTGGGTGACTGAGACTTGGGAAGATTTCTTGAATGGATGAATATATGCATGGTGTTTATGGATAGCGAAGTTATGACTTATGTGGTCCCATGAGATATTAACTGAATTAGCTTGTTGATATCATGGCGATGATTCTTTTGAATTTTAAAATACAATTTTCTTTATACTGCAGGAGTGAGATTGTGTCTAATGAGATTATGTGTAATGAGATTATCTACATCAAGGGTCGAAATCATGTTTGGTGTGAGGAAATGAAGGGAAGTCGAGTCTGGACTGGGGATTCAGACTCAAGATTCGGATGTAGGAAGGTGTGTTGTGTGTGGTGTGGAGTGGTGATTCTCTGTTGGTTTTTGGGGTTTGTGTTGTGAAAGGAAGATTGGGAGAGAGGGGGGATTGAGATTGAGATGGGGAGGATTGAGATTGGGGAGGGATTGAGGAGGGAAAAAATATAGAATGCGTTCTAATATATATAACCCCAGAGGGTAGGGATAGGGGTAGGGAATATGATATCAGGGGAGGTTTTTTAACGTATATGAGGGTGGATGGATGATAAATGAGGATGGATGAGGATTGGTATTGAAACTGGGGGTACCGGTAGGGGTGGCATAGTAGGATAGGATAGGATAGGTGTGGAAAGAATAGGTATGAGAGGGAGGGTGGGTGTATCTAGTCGTCTGGGACGAGGGTGTGAATGGAGGGTGTATCTAGTAGTGTAGTCTGGATGGATGGAGGGTGTGTGGATGGGATTTTCTGGATGGGATTTTCTGGATGGGATTTTCTGGATGGGATCTTATGGGTATGTGTTTGCTTGTGTTTATACGGAGGGAGAGGAATAGAAATGAAGGGGAGGAAGAGTAGAAATGAGAATGGGAATGTGAATGTCAAGATTAGGATTAGGATGAGGATGAAGCTGAGAGGAAATTGGAGGATCCGGATCTCTATGCATGTTTAGCTGAGAAATGGAAATGTGAATCTGTTTGTGGAATTCGAGCAGATACCTAGGTAGTAGTAAGTTGAGGGATTTTGATGAATACCTTCAGCCACCGAATGATGTTCTGGAGTAGCGCGGCATGGAAGGAGATAATGACACGGGTCAATTTGAATGTATAAGAATGTGTGATTTTGGGTATCTTTTTATTCTATTTCTTCTCCACGACCAATAAGGTGCGCGGTACTTTTTTGTGATTATGCTTTTGATGCGTAATATCATTTTTTCCGCCTTGCTCCCTCTTGATTTCCCAGAGCCCGATACACACATAGACCGTACAACATACCATCCTGGCGCTTCATTTCCTCTAATATCCTCCTTGAATTTCTCCATCTATGACTCCGATTTTCGTTTGGTTTAGTAATCCAGCGTGCTTATTTTCATCCAGATCTGACCCAGCCCTTCGAACCCACAGTTCCCAATTCCAAACTCCCACATCCATCTCTGTCCCCATTTCTAGCCTCATCCCATTCATCATCTAAACCAAATGTCCCGGTAACAAGAAATTTCCGATCCCCTCCTTCACACGATACTCATGTCCACAATTCGCACAAACTAAACTTCCCTCGTCGATTTCCGTTTCCAAAAGAAGCGTATGGAGTTCCTTCATCATTTTTTCGTCTTCTTGGAGGGTTTCGGGGGTGGGTGGTGTGGGGGGGAGAGCAGGGAATGAAAGCTAGATTACGTCTTATATTAGCGTCTTTTCTCTTTCCTGATGTTTTTCATTCCGGAATGATTGCTTGACCTGAGCGCGAAACAATATTTGCAGATAGGCAAAAGAGGGGCAATGATTCAAAGAAGAGCACAGGAAAGGAAAAACATACCTCAGAAGCAATAACACAAAGCGCCTTCCAATCAATCCGCGGCAGGATATTGAGAAGTAAAGCAGTGTTTAAAGGTATATCGTTACTAACAAGCGAACATTCTTTTGGATGAAGAGGAAACGATGCGCTGGTTGATTTGCACGCTTTCACAGCACAGGTGAGGAAATTGAGAGTTAAGAGTTTCATTTTTTCGGGGGGTGCGCAGCGCGCGATGATGTGAATTAGTGGGTGGATTCGTATGCGAGCGATTTATTTGTCGATTGATGTTTATGGTTGTGTATACCTAGTATTCGAGAGGGTTTGGTGAGATTGGTGGTGGAGAGATGGAAGCTTGAAGTTGTGTTGTGCAAGTGTGGTGGTGTTGAGTAAGAGGAAATTATTTTTTTGCGTTCGCGGGGGAGATAAGATTAGATTAGATTGACGCTAAGGGGTAGTGGCTTGGCGTGGAGTTTGACTTCACTTCATGAATTTTATATTTTTACAAAACAGCGTTTCATGGAGCCGAGATCTTTTCAATGAAGGCATTTTTTCTTTTTAGCTGTGAGCTGATGTGGTTTACTTCAATAGGTTTTCGATATGTTCGATATATGCATGCAATGCGTCATTGGTGGATGGCTGTAGTTTGTTGTAGGGGGTGTAGAATAGGGTAGTATTATGATAGGATGAGGCTTGCTGGACGAACAGGAAGCTGGGATGCAAGAAAAACCTCTGACGGCTGTAGCCATTGGTGTTATGGAAGTCAAGGATACTTTCTGGATCAACAACTGACCTGGATTGAAAAATAGTGAGGCTGTACAGCTGGATCTCTTGACTGCTCTTTCGAAAAGACATTGATGCTGAATTCTCTTGAATAGAAAATGGAGGGCGAAATGTCATTTTAGAACCGCAGGAAAATTAGTTGAAGATATTTCGTGGTTGTTATGTATGCCTGAGATTCTTCGTACAACGGTCTAAATAACAGAGTAGGACTTTGATCCGAATGGAACATGGCATTGTTTGGCTGTGTCTTCCATTATATATTGCGATTTTAAATCAAAACTGGGTAAGCATCTGTGGGAATATCGCTCGCATTCATCTGGCTATCCCGTACTTGTTGTACGACCCCCTTTCGCCCCCCCTCGCTCAAACCCCTGCTGGTGAACTCGAATGAGCTCTCGTCATTTTCAATTTACACAGAATTTCGGTTCAATTTGACCTCAACGGCAATTCGAAATTTCAGTTACGCATGTATTTCTGCATCCGGCTTTTGCAAGGTTGATTGTGTCGATACATCAAACTATCAAGACGTAGGAGACCAATCTAATAATGCTACGGGACGAGTTGAAGGTGTAAAGCTTATAGCCACAGAACTCGACAACTCAGAAGAATCTCGGCAAATCGGAGCCTCCATTTGCTAAACAGGCCTTTAACCATGTCTGACGAGATTCGGCGTCAGTTCCAGGGATCGTATCCACTAAAGATTATCGGTTCGCGTAGCCCGAAGTGGATTTCAAGGCTTCTACAGGGGGCTTCAGCTGCAGCCGTCGAGCCCTAGAGATGCCTGCGAGACTTTCAAATTGCATGCATACAGAACTAGGTGGTATCTTTTGCAGAATATAGTGAGTTTAGTGTAAATGTCTGAGGCATCAATATAATAATAAGCCACCCGGAATTTTGTCTTCAATCATCTGTCAAGTTTTGCTTCCGTGCTTGAGAAGTATCGCAGTCTGGTACTTGGAAAGACGGGTTTTGTGCGAGAAAAATATTCTACATCCATCATCTTGTGTGTCGACTTCAAGAAAACAACTGAGTTGAAGAATCCGCTGTTTGTATTGGTACTGCCATGGCCTCTTCATGCAGCTCGGAGAATGAGGGGCTAGCTGAGCTCCTCAAAGAGACGTTGAAGGAGCTACGAAATATCTCCTCAGAGCTGGGTGAACAAAGCAAAGCAATTCAAGCTATGACCAAGGCGCAGTCTCAACCTCCATCACCTACCGCTGAACAGCTGATAGACAATAACACGACCAAGAGTAGGCCACCGATAAGCGCTTCACCACCAGCAGATCAATCTGAGCGCCTCGATAATAGCCATCATCCAGAGAAGAGCGATTTTGGGGGGGAGAGCGACTTTTGGGGTGATACCGACGAGATGTTTTTCTCGGAAAAGATCCCTCCAGATTATCAGGAATTTGCAAGTACCCCGATAGGCACAGACTCTTTCACAGCTCTTATGTACACTGCCGATGAGTCTAATTATCTATTCTAGATTAAAAATGAGTTGTACTATAATCAGTGTACAAGATTATCGTTAGAAAAAGAACCACAAGACATTAGTGCGTCCGAAACTAGACCTGTGATAACTCCTCAGTCTTTGTCAGCAGATGAACATCAGATCACTGCTTCCCCGGCAATGAACAGTGCTCTGCATAATTATGTTACTTCGTCATTTAGGAGGGCAAGTAATTCTTCAGAAATGAACAATGCTCCGCAGGCTGCATCTACTCAGTCATTCGAGAGACCAAATACTCCCTCTCCGATAAGCAATGACCCGGATATTTCCACCATACAATTCTTGAGAGAACCAACCGCGTCCCAAGCAGACAAAAGCGCTCCGCCAGCATCTGCTGCTCAATCATTGAGAGAGTCAATAGTTTCCGCATCAACTCAAAGTTCAAGGACACGTTTGGAATGTTTTATGGATATGCAGACCTGGGCTTGGTTCAAAAAATTCCCCTATGATCATCGGCTTGCACTGGATTTTGAAACTTTCCAGAGATTTATTTCTACGAAGAGTAGATTCAAAAATAGCCGCTCTTCAATAAGAGTCAGAGATTGGATCCATCAACAATGTTACTTTGATTATGAATTTTTGTCCAACGTATTTACATTCGAGGGTAACGGTACCAGCAACTTCAATGTCCTCAGAAATCACGTTGCAAATATTTATACTCAAAGAAAGGAAGCACAGCTCCAGATCCAAAGAAATGGAAAGGCCAGTAGACAATGGAGGAGAATAATGTTAGTGGATCATAAACTACAGAGCGAGACTTTTAGGAGCTAATTCATCTCTCAGACAAGTCACAGATATGTCGTACATGTACGAGTCGATTGAAGATCTAGCTCTTGCGATAAAAGATGAAGATCTACCGGGTTTTAATTTTATAGATACTGACACTATACGGCTTTCTTGGGAGCCACGGATGCGCTGGACGCAATTTCAAGAAGAAATGGCACAATTGAGATATTCAGAGTCTATACTAAAAAGTGCGTGGAGCTCCCACGGCCTGTGCAAACGCTCTCTTAAACCGGATTACAAGAGGTGGGGCGCGATCTTTCAGATTACCTTCTATGAAATGATCCCAGCAAATGAAGATCGTCGTAGTATTTGGAAAACAGGGGCATTTCGTAATGATCATATTCGAAACTGGGAACAAGTTTTTGACGACGTGGAGAACAATCGTCTAGTTCTCAGGCGCAGTTGCGTTACGGTTAGTCCCTCGTGCCAATACTCTTGCTTCTCATTCGAGCCTAACCTTTGATTAGATTGTTGGATTCATTGACTGTCTTCACAAGTGGTCTCCTGAGAATTGGACCATGTTATTACTAACACCCAGCACAACAAATATTTATATAGACATATATGGAGACAGTAGACAAGCTGTTGATCGCGAGTTCATAGTAGCATTATCAGGCATCATGGACAGCAGCACAAGAGCGGTTGTTCATCATTGGGATATTCTCGCAAATTATTTCGAAAAATTACTTAGCGAAAGTGACAATTTACTAGAGCCTCAGTTACACGACCTCTTACTTGTGGACGATTCAAAATATTCGAAGTCGAAAAAGTACTTTTGGGCTTTGAACATCTTAAAGGAGATTGAATCAGATATTGCTGCGGTAATCTCGCAGCTTGAAGGATTCATGGACTTTTCGGAACATTCTCCCCTAAAGAAGCAATTCCCTTTACCAGAAGAAGGAAGAATAAGTGCAGAGCGAGAAATAATTGTAAGAAAGAAATTGGGTGTGCTCAAGGAGGATCTCACCAGCATTAAGCGTCGTTTTAGGGACCAGCGGGAGCTTACTAAAGACCTCCGAGACGGCGTATGTATTTCTCTGATCATCCATATTGGAAATCCTCCAAGATAAACATGAAATTCAAATGGTTTAACATTCTTTAGCTTTTCAACGCTAGTGCAGTTATGGAATCAAGAGCATCAACAAGATTGGGAGAGAATGTGAGACTACTCACTTTCGTGAGCATATTTTTCCTGCCACTATCATTTACCATGGTACGTTTCAACTCCCGAGAAGTCAACGCAGTACTGACCCAATGATGAGTCTATCTGGAGCATCAACGACAGCGCCCTGGCGAACATCAATATCATGGTTGGTGTCGCAGTTGTCTTGGGCATCATAACCTACTTCGTAGTATTCAATGTCAACAACATCGTCTTCCTTTCAAATCAATTTATCAAGGTACTAAAAGTCGGTACCATTGAGCACATGAAGAGAAATGATAACACTGTATGGAAACAAAGAGGCGAAGGGCTAACAGAGCCTGCTCTTGCAAATGAGCAGAATGCTACTCCTTCAAGTTGGCGTATTCCTCAGTATATATGGTTGTTGGCTTGGAATTGGATTAGTGGAGTTGTGGCTCACATATGGAGTCCTATGAGAAAGTTGTTCGAGCGATTAACCAAGAAGGTGGAACAGACGGAGCAGGGTGTTTGATCTGACTTAGGTTAGCCTGAGGGAGTGTCAAAGTTGTAGATTTAATTGAGATTTATCTTAATACAATATTTATGAGTCAGATGTATCAGCCAGATCAATTGAAACACATTCCAGAATTCCCGGTATCTATACATTTGATTGAACCACCTTTATCACGTGCATTGTTGGGGGACAATGCTGGAACTCTGACGTGACCGTGTGCAATCTCCTCAAATTATTGAGGCGGGGATGGGGTACATAGGTAAAGGGACCACGCCACGTTCACCGCACCCGAAAATACCAAGTCTATCGTCCTCTATTCACGCATAGAGACAGAAACAAACCACCAAATTCTTCTGAAGTCAGAATTCGAACATGGCTCCACAAACTACCGACTGGGCAGTCGAGATGGCCAAAGGTCGGATGGCTACAACTAAAGACGAATACGAAGAGATGCACAACCAGATGTCACGCATGGGTTTGAAGGGTGCTTATAATCCAGCAAATGTGTATCCTGGATCTCGTTTCACTCCAAGCTCAAAGCCTACACCAGAAGAAGTTCGTGAGAAGGCTCGATTTTCATCACAAAAGATATTACATTGCGGACCATTGTTCAGTTACATGCTGATACATTGGAGAAGCGTTGGATGAAAAAGTCGAGAAAGAAACAGAAGGAAATGCTCTTGGAAGCTTGGCCCAACATGTCTACTACACATCGTTCTGATTACGAGGCATTTAGACAGGAGTGTACCGGAGGCATACTCATCGGACTCTCGAAGCTTCCTGTGACCTCAGTAGCAAATCTCTGGTTATTTTCATCACTAGCCGAGGACACAACCCTCCAAGCGCATTTGCTCGCGCGCACCTTAACGCAACACACCACGGAAACTGTTGCGCATTTTATTCCTGAGCCAGCTTTCCTTCCCTTTGATGCACTGTTCTTGGATGGTGATAAAGTGGAAACATATGGAAGATTAATTTCATGGGAGGAGGATGATGCTGCTACTGATCTGATATTCACAGAAAGACCAGCCCTGCTGACGGTTTGAAAGCATTTGAACTTCAAGAAAAAATATATCCTTTCCTCATCAGATGTTGTGAGCTTATTCTTCACGACTTCACCAAATCGAGTGCTTTGCTTGATGCAAATATTCCAACAGGTATTGCGCCTGATCCTGTAGTTGCCCCGGAGCCTACTACAGCCGCAGTTACCGAGATACTTCCATCTCTGGTCACCATTTCAGCAGAAGCACCGTATCGTTTACCAGCGAACATCGATTTTGAGCGGCTCCGTGAAATCTTTGCAGCAAGACTCTCAGCAGCAGAAGACTATCTCTTTGATTTGAGGGAAGATCCTGGATTTTTCGCTGACACCATTAACGATTGGAGCGAGCATCGGAATGATGCATTGTTAGACACAAATGGCAACCCACATCCGACTGGACCACACACTTAGGATTTCTGGGGCCGCGTGGTCAGAAACATTATCGGTGACGCATATTCTAGCTACGAAACCTGGTTTCTCCTTCATCGACAAGCTGCTCTATTATGCACATTGATGGAAAAATACAAGGATGAAATTTCGTATAACAAGCAACTTCCCAAGGAATACCTCATTGCCATTTTGAAGCTTAGGAAACTGTAAGGATATATGCCTTTCCTAATGTACACAATTTCGAAGCTAACTATTTTGAAGTCTGAAGACAAGTGCCGAAGTACCGATCGACTATCTCCAAAATATCCAGTCCTCACCACCTCTCCGACATCATTTTACACGTACTCCACAAGATCCTGGTACAACCAGCATGCATATAATGCCAAAAGATGAGAGAAGTCCATTTTTCAACAAACAATGGGGTCTTATATTGATTTTGTGGGACCGGAAAAAACGAGATCTATTTGGATTGACAAATGCCATCGATGCATTCGAACAACTGATGCAGGATCCAGAAGAAAGCAAGAACATATCTTCATATATTGCCGATCGATTCTCAGATCTAGCAATATTATCTCGAGCTCTTTATGAAGTCGAGAATTATCAGCCTTGGGCTGCGACTTTTGACGACGAGTACAATGGAAGAAAATTCCTCCACTTTTCCTGGCCCCTGTCACATTCCAAACTGCAGTTCAAATGTTTTCGAGAGAGAATGGATTTTCACACGTTAAGGACTCACTTGCAACTTACCTGATGAGACTATGGATCCCACAGCTATCCTTTGATTTTCCAAAATTAGGTCACAAGCTCATTATTGATTTGCAGAACAACCACCAGAGAGAAGTGCTCAGAATCACAATGACAGGTTTTCTTTTCAATAATGATTATATCGAGTATATGAACTCCGTTTTGAGAGGTATCGTACCATACTGCATGCCGGGTGATGGCAAATTCAAATATCCTGTCAATAAGAAGTGTACAAAACAAAGCACGGAACAGATGATCTTGGCTGAGAAAAACCTCGACTTTTTCTGGGAGAAGTTTGATGCTAACTGGAAAAAACTGACGAGGAAGAACATCGATGCGTGCTTTGGAGGGAATCCACCAAGAAAGAGAGAAGAGATTCAAAGAACTTCATCATGGGTTGAGCCCTTACCGATTAAAGCTACAACAAAATCTCAACAAGCCTCAAGCACCCACGAATGGGCACATGATGACGAAAAGAACAGAGTTTAGACAAAATCGAAGAAAGCAAAATCCAAGACCAGAGGGTCCACACAGCCGCTCACGCAACTTGAAACTCAACCTGAGGCTCAACCTGGGAACCCCGAACCACAGTTCAATGTCGAACAATCTAAAGTCAAGATCCCTCATCATATTATACGAGTGTTCAATACATTATTCTTTCAACCTGATCAGAACAATACACCAGGCGACGTCCCTTGGGTAGAATTCCTAAAGGCAATGGTAGAAATGGGCTTTGCTGTGCACAACTTGTATGGGAGTGTTTGGCAATTCACACCTGTTTCTAAGGAGGCAGCGGTTAAAACCAGAGCAGAAAAAAGCATTCAGTTTCATGAGCCGCCTCCGGGTGTCAAGATTAATTTTGTCGTTGCTCGAAGAATGGGAAGAAGGTTGATGAGAAGATTTGGATGGTGGGGTGGTATGTTTGAGGAGGAATAGTGGAGTATACAATTGATTTAGTGGATGGTGTAGTGTAGAAAGGGGAATCTGAATCATATTAGACCGGAAGTAGTCTGCATAGAAAACCCAGTGGGTGGGACCCCACCCACTGGGTAATAGTCCCAATAGATAGGTAATACACCTCATTGGGTACCCAATAGATGGATAGGATTTCTAAAAACCCATCCCATTACCCATGGGTAACCTAAAATACTATGGGTAATCTAAAATACCATAAATAACCCAAAATATTATGGATAACCCAAAATACTATGAGTAACCCAATGGGTAATGAGTAATTTAATGGGTAATGAATAATTTAGTGGGTAATAGATAGTAATTAGAGTTATAAAGTATATTGTTCAAGATTAATAGAAAGATTAATAGAACATTCTTCAATTCTCAATTTGGATAACTATCTATATCTATTAAATATATTATGAAACCTTCTTTGACTCCTTTCTCTATTAGATCTATTAATTATAATCTCATTATCTTCAATTCATTACCTTTTCGAATTATAGCTTGATAAATCGGATTGTATAGCTTGATCTTCTATAGTAATCTGTAAATCGTTATAAATTGCTAGATCTTCGTTTTTCAATTTTTCATTTATTTAATTTAATATATCTTGTTTGATTTTATAATCATTTTGAGAAAGATATTATAATATTCTGATTAATAGTATATTTCTTTATAATTGATAATATCTTCGAAACTCCTCTTATACTATACATATAGTATTTATATTTGATTCTTTGTTATTAATATAATTCTTTTAGTCCTAATTATCAAGTTATTTGATCTTAAAATCAATCTCATCTTGTAAATTCGCAATTTCAACTTCGATTTCCTTTTTAATTAAAGCTATAGATTCTTTAGCAATTTGTATAATATCCCGAAATATATAATAGCTTTTATTTCTATTTGAAATCTCCTTTTGTAATTTCTATTAATAATAAAAAAGAAAAATATTATTATAAATAGTTTTTGAAATAAATTGTTTATATCAATATAAATATAAATCCCTAGCATAACTGAATATTCGTTTTATATCAACTTCTACTATTAGAATACAAAGGAAATCCCTAGTTATTCTAGTTAAACCTGAATAATTATATTCTTTTATTTTCCAATAAGAAAGAATAGCTATATCAGAAAAGGCTAATAGAATATTAAAGATATAATTAATAAAAAGATTAATAGAAAGACTTATAAGAGTGTAATCAGAATCTACTTTATCTATAGTAATTTCTTAAGATCTGTATTATCCAGAAATATCTCGACAAGATTATTCCAAAACAATTACTAGATTATTCTTATTTGAATTTTGTAAAGCTTAAAGTTTAGTAATTCTAGATAATATATATTATTGATATTCGATTTCCCAAAGTTGACGAAATTGTACTTCGAATTCAGCTTGTTAATTCCGATTTTAATAATTCAATTAATAAGAATTTGAATTGAAAATAATTACCTTTAAAGCTGAATATAGCAAAGCTTCTATTATATAAATACTACCAAGATTATTATATATATTATTATAATATTTATCTAATTTTCTTTTTGCTTCATCAATAACTTCTATTAGTTTTTCAATCCATAAATATTTTGTCTTTTTTTTAGTCAAACAATAACAATTTTTAGTTAGATATTTATATAAATTATTGTAAATACCTAATATATATAGCAAAGTAATTCCTTTTATCCTATCTATATATATAATATAGAAATTGAATGAACGAATAAGATCAATAAGATATCCAATTTGCTTTATTCTACTTTGATAAAGAAAATATTCTTGTATTAGAATAATCCTAATAGTATTTATCGATTACATTTCAAAAACGTACTACATATATCAATATATAATAAGTCGAATCTCATCAAATTGAAATATCTATCAAAAGATTAATTGGCTTTCTCAATTCTATCTAATTATTCCTAATAAATTCTTATTGAATATTCAGAAACCTTAATTGTTGTTGTATACTAAAATTCGAGAATATAGCTAGTTTTCGAATCTAGATAAGGATTAATAGAAAGATTAATAGAGAAATCGAATCACTTACCTTAATAAAAATAAAAGGAATAGTATTATTTTCCAATAAACGAATTCTTTCTAGATTGCTTATTTCTGTATCATTATTCCAATCTCGAATAAACATTTCGTTAATTAGAATCAAACAAATTGATTCAAGAAGTGCTTTTAAACAAATTGAATAATATATATGTCACGGAATTCACCGTATAGTGTAACCCTACGGTATTAATCCTAGTACTCCTCCGGAGTACTCATTCCCATGATTACTAAAACTATTTCACTCAGTTCATTTATGTACCCTATATACCTAATTAGGCGACTCCATCGCCTGATCAGGGTATATAAAGCAGGTATGATCCTTATGATCACACCTCAAGTCAATCTAGTTTATTATCACTCTATGTACCTATCTCCTGATCAAAATAACCATTAGATATAGCTATTACCTCCATAATAGTTATAAGCCCGGTTAGCACTCATACTACGCCCTCATTATTCATATACATCTTTTGATCACTCTGATTCATATATACTCTTTTCTATTTATCTTTACAAACTCATCATATCTAAATCTAATTCCTCAGAAGTCACCAGACTCGTTACCCGTGGACACTGATTAAGATGGTTCCTGAATCTACAACACCTCTATATATCGAAAAGTATCTAGAAGAATATCAAACCATCTGATTCCAAGACCATTCCGATTACTCCAATCAGTTTCGGAGAATCCTCGGAAGATAAAAAAACTCTTTATTAATTGATCCTTATTGATAAAGAAGACTAACTTACCAAGAACCCACCTGAGCTTATTACAATTATCAATCTCATGAGAAAATACGATTTGAATAATAATACAAAGTATCTCACTAATCTCAATGCTTATGAATAATCTCAATAGAAGGACTTAGAAGGAAATATTAAGATAATTCTATTACAATTCTTTAAAGAGCTAATGCTTAAGTCTATAAAACCTAAAACAAGTATCTTTTAAGATATCTTAGTAGAACACTCTGTACTTCAAGGAGAGTACTGCTATTAAAGGGATAAGTATAATATTATATATAAATCATATCAGGATATCTACGAATAGATTATGGAAACAGTGAACTCATCCCACTTTATGGAATTTACTCTTAATAATAGTGATAGAAAAGCTTTATTACTCAAAACGATTATTCAGAAGCTACAGGATAAGCTCGCACCTACTATTACAACAGCAAAATCTATTATTGCTTAAGAATATTGAAACATTCTTCAATAAGCAACTGTAGGTCGAACTGATTCGATCAAGTGGCATAACAAATAAACTAAAGTTTATACTACTGTAAAATCATATTATATCAAAGTAAAGAATAATTTAATAATCATCAATTTTCTATAGACTGTGGGAATATGTATACTCTCTATTTGAATAAGCACTATACTCATTTAGATTAAGACCAATAATCAACTTGGAATTCCCAATTATTCTTTAAAGCAATTCAAAGATATCTTTGATGACTTAGTTTATCAAAACTCTTTAGCATCCAAGAACAAGGGTATATTCTCAACAATCAATTTTGAACCTAAGCATAATCCTGGTAATCCACAAGGAAAGCAAGGCAATGCTTGGAGAGGAGGTCCCAAAAAGGTAATTGATTGATATAAATACTCTTGTAAATCGGAATCTGATTAAAAGAATGGAAAGGCGGGTAGTAGTTATTATCCTAAGACATGCTGGTTAATTGAGTTCGCACTCACCGGAAAATGCAACTCCCGAAATTCAATCTTATTAACAGAAAAGGAATACAATGACATACGAGGAAGAATCAAGGAAGATCGATGGTCGAATATACGTAAAGCCTGGGAGTAGAAGGGATGAATCAATTCAAGAGGTAGTATCTCTTAATCATATAATTCAATAGATCCTGAATCGAGAATAGTAATCTGTTTCATCCAAGGTTCTATGAATCACAGGATTTACACTACTACCTCTGATCCACTTCATCAACTCTCTGACAATACTATATTTAACAGCAGTAGCGCCATGCACCTCATTAACAATATCAATCTTCTTAACGGATATAAATATATATCTTTACCAGTATCAGATTACATTGAGGCAGGAACAACAAAAATTCAGGTCGTCGGACAAGGCACTTATACAATCAAGAATATCCTCCAAAGACCTCAAGGTTCAAAAGGTAATCTGATTCTCTCAAATGTTGTATATATTCCTGGATTTCATATCAATATCGTTTCGGAAACAAAGCTCTTAGGTGTAGGAATATGGTTTTTAGGGATGGACTCTATATTACAAAAAGGCAATCTTGAGAATAGTTATATTGTCGCTCATTATACTTGTAAAGATAACCTCTTATTCCTAGAATACAAACTACTTTCCTTCTGCTTAATCAATTTAAGCACGATACCTATAAATCCAAACCTTTTGATATATCCCACAATCAATACCAACATCAAACAACCATTTCGCCAATCGAGGGACCCACCTAAACCTCGAAAGGATTCCGCAGAACTCTAGCATGAACAATCAGGATATTTGGGTAAAGAAGCGCTCGAACATCTCGTTTTCTCAATAAGAAATATAAAGATAAAAGGACTCTCTAGAATTGAGTATATTGATTGCTTACACATACATGCTAAGCAAATAATATCACGAGCTCCTAGTGAATCCCGATCACTATATCCTTTCTACAAAATTCAATAGGATTTATTCGACTTTCCATGTGTATATATCGGAACATCCTGGCTCCTGGTAATCAAGGATATATTTAATGGAAAGATCTTTAGCTTTCCATTATACCAAAAGACTCATTTTGAAGTGTTCGATACAATCCAGAACTTCCTTGCTTGGATACTCAGAAAGTACAGTCTATCAGTAGTCTGTATCAAACAGGACAACGACACTTCAGTCATTGGTATCATGGGAAACACCGTATTCGAAAATTGGATCAAA